GCATCAGATTTCGACAATTAATGGAAAAAGTATTGCATTTTTATTATTTCTTTTTATAATAATGTATTTTGCTCAAATAAATGCATCTTTGCTGAATAAAATTTAAAAAATCTAATATTTATCAGTTAAAAACAAAACAAATAGACGTATACTGCATGTCATTTCATTTTAAGGTGAAGTGTGTACTTTATACATGACTAAAACATATAGTTATGGGGATGGAAAATACTTTTTTCCAGCCATTCAAATCACTAAAAGTGGGCAATAGTAAGTCTAAAACTGTGCAGAAAGGCAGACTTTTCTACAAACCTGATGTCAATAGCATATTAAGTACAACCCTGAATCTAAACAGACGTAAAGAACAGTACCTGGATGACGGGGGGTCTCCAGCGCATGTTCTTCAGTGGTGCAGGAGTGAAGCTGCAGGTTCCCGACGGTCTTTTCTTCACCATCAGGGTCACATTTTGAGGGTCTTCCCTGAGCTTCTCCACCAGATTCTTCAACTGCCAGCCCACCTGAGACAACAGCAGCACAGCGGTTTATATTTCTCACCAAAATTCGCAGATCATATTTCACCCTAAACTTATTATCAGAAATAGAGAGGTTTAAAGAAAGTTTGAATGAAAATTAAGTCTATTTCTAGTCCCTTTAAAAATAAATAAATATATTTATATTAAGGCATTATATTTCTCATTAATACAATATCATTTCACAACCTTAATAATAATTGTGATAAAGATTGATATATCAAATAGTTTTTGTATTTTGTGGTTGACTGTTTATTCATGGTTATGAATTGCATTATGAGACTTTAAGGTTTGCTTTGTCGACTTCTGATGCTGAAAATACAACTGTGCAGAAGTGACTTTTAGTTACATTGCAGTAGTTTAAAATAATATAATGTATAAGAGATAATATATAAAGTCTTTAAGTTTGTAAAATAACAATAAAAGAAGAACTTGCGTTTATAAAAAAAAAAAACGCCCTTAATTTACAACACCAACCCAGATAAATATCAGTTCAAACTATTAAAAATATTATTAAAAGTCACCTTTTCAAGCTTTTCAACATCGAAAGTTGTTGGAGGAGAGATCATTGTGCTATAATGCAGTTCAAAAGCAGAAATAACTGAATAAACCCCCATTAACTTACTAAATACTGGAAGAAAATGCTAATTAATGGATATAATTTACAAACATTATTCTCATTCTGTCACAACTTGTGTACTTTATGTTTGTGCGTGTGTTTGTGTGTATGTGCACGCATCAATTCTGATAGAATGAATGCTAAAGCTCAATCTCTCATTAGACAGTATCTTATTCAAAAAAGGCTATTTCTGTAATTGCAATGTATTTATTTTTCAATTTATCAATTTATCAATGTAATGTATGAGTCTTTATTCTAGTACACTGGTTCTCAAACTTTTTTCATCAAGTACCACCTCAGAAAAAAATTGTCTCTACAAGTACCACCAAAATGAGCAGTATTGAAATACAGTAGTGTAGAAGGCCTAGCAAAGCAGCTACACCTCTGCACAGTTAGAAAAACGTGGCAGATTACCTCAGAAATATAGCCTATATGTCATATATGGCATATTATATACATCATTTTTGATAAATTTTGAAATGTGTGTCGCATGTACGACATATTTCATTCCTCCGCGTACCACTAGAAGGCAGCCTGCGTACCACTAGTGGTACACGTACCACAGTTTGAGAACCACTGTTCTAGTAACTTTCATTTAGTATATACACCAGTTTTTTTGCTCTAAATTGTACCATCATTCATCTTCTAAACATTTTTGATTTAATTCTACTTCATTTACTACAACCACATTCCCCTTTTATGATTGATGCATCGTCAAACTTTTTACTTTAACTTAATTGACCATTTTTGACTAATTCTAATTAATTTCTCATCAACCAAACATGTTTTCCTTTTTACACCTAAAACAGAAATGCCCTTGAGTAAAGAAAAAAAAGACTTATTTTAAAAATAATATTCTCATGTGTAAGCCGGTTTTAATGTATTTTGACACTTAATTGCACACTATTTAGTTAAATGAGATAACAGTTTAAATATATATTAAAGGTAATTAGCTAAACAGTGCACTGTGACCCACTTAAGTAGGATTAAACTTCATCTTCGTAATTATTATCATATTATGCAATTTCATAATTACTCCATGAAATATAGTTCAAGAGCACTGCTGAGAGTTCTGTCTCAAATAAACTTCGAAAGGCTCCATGAAATTAAAATAAAGTTTGTTAGTATCAGTATTGTTAGCTCTACAAGCTAGTGTGCTCCAAAACGATGACAAAACTAGCGTTTAGAAGCTGTAAAACATGTCAAGCTTGTAGTTTGTCACTACAGGGGTGTCCAAACTCGGTCCTGGAGGGCTGGTTCTCTGCATAGTTAAGCTCCAACTTACTTAAACACACCTGCCTGGAAGTTTCAAGTATACCTAAAGAGCTTGATTATCTGGTTCAGGTATGCTTAATTGGGGCTGGAACTAAAATATGTAGGACACCGGCCCTCCAGGACCGAGTTTGGGCACCCTTGGCCTAAATGGATGAACGGTTTTCATCTTACAGCTTCTTATCACATCATAACCAATCAAATGCTCTTTAGTATCTGACATGCTCCGCCCCCTGTAAGACGCTTCTCATTTGACATGCTTGAGTTCAATCAATCTTCCTGGCAAAACATTGATAGTATGCTGATTTACTAACTGCTTAGACATGACTACTAAAAGTCAGATCTGACTCGAGAGTCACACCAAGATTCTTGACCTTGTTTTTTGTTATTTGACCTATAGAGCCAAGATACGCATTCACCTTGAGAACCTCATCTCTTTTCCCAAAAGCAATGACATTTTCTCTTTGTTTAACTGAAGGAAATTTTGGCACATGCAATTGTTAATTACATCAATGCATTGGCAGAGGGTGTCACTGGGGCTGTAGCAATGACTGTAAAAAATATGGACGACGCGACAGCCCCTTTTCCCATTGAACGCCTTGAGGGCAAAACGTTTGCTTGACGGGCACACACTGTCGCAAAAGACTGCTGAAATTGGAGTCGAGCTTCCAACCAAACGCTTTATGTAAAATCAACCACGCCCCCCGAACTTCTCAGCATGCGTTTGCTGTCATATAAACACAAATGGATGTAATAACTTTAACAAATATGAGGGTTTTATATATTCAATCGCGCCAGCTCCGGGCCGCAGCGCATAACCTACTCGCGGCGACGCGGGCTGATTCCAGCTCGCTCGGCCTCCGCATCTGGCTCGATTGACTCGGGCTGGAATCGGGCAGTGAGTCCAGGCATCCAGAGTAGGTCCAGCAGAGGTAGTCAGTCTGAGCTCTGAGGGGTAAGTCTCCGGCAGGCGAGAATCTAGCCGGAACTGGACCGAGTGTATTTTGCTATCTGGGTGGTTAGGCGTGTATCAGCAAACTAATAAAGCCCGAAAAAAGCCCTGACCTTAGCGAATAAACAGTGTTCCACCAGGATCATGTATGTCAGAAACTATAGTTTACTGCTGAACTCATTTTGTCATGGTAAAATAACACAGAAATTGAATAATAACACTTCAGTCTCCTGCTGAAGCTCAGACGCGCTGCTTTGAGAAACTGTCAATCACAGCTGTCAATCACGATGACACGCCCAGCATTAAATTACTGCTAAAAACAAACTGTTTACAGAAATGAAGATCTGCACCTATTTCAGCACAATAACCAGTGCCTTAATCGACCAGAACTATCTTTCGGGACATTTTATTGCAAGTGTAATAATTTTTTTTATTTGGGCTCAAGTCTCCTTTATTAACACGGAGGAGGCGGGCTTTATGACTTGTACTGCAGCCAGCCCCCAGGGGGCGATCTAACGGCCGAGACCTTCACTCAAACGCAGGCTTGCGGCACACTTAGGCTGTAGTCATTAGGCAGTAAGGCTAACGCCCCATTCACATGGGGCGTCAGCGTCAACGCTTCCCATTCACTTTGAATGGGTGACATCAGGCATAGCCAAACTGCATTGTGGATCCGCTGAAGTGTCAGCCAATCAGATTGCTGTATGCAAATACACCAGCTAGACAGTGGCCCATTGCTGACAGAATTTCATTGGCTGACGCTGCTATGACGATCGCATTAGCCCCAACTTCAGACACGCCTTCAGTCAAGTGTTGATGCTGAAGCCCCGTGTGAAAAGGCCGTAAGTAGATCTGAGTGTCCTCAGCATAGCTGTGGTGGGAGATTTGGCTTTTTTCCGCATTATTTGGCTCAGAGGGAGCATATAACAACAGAGTTGCCAGATTTGAACCTTGTGGGACTCCACGTCACAGGTGTCCACCCTGACCTATGGTCACCTATACTGACATAGTAAACTCTCCCTTCAAGGTAAGATTTGAACCATTTGAGGACCGTGCTAGACAGCCCAACCTAGTTTCCCAGCCTATCCAGAAGTATGCTGTGATCGACAGTGTCAATTGCAGCACTGAGATCGAGCAGTACCAGCACTGTTAGTTTATCTGAATCTGTATTTAGGCGGATTTACATCAAACATCGAATAAAAATGCTAATTTTAAAGCACTTCATAAGACCTTTAATGTCACGCTTTTATTAAAACGTTTATCTTTACTGTACTAAATTGTATATTTAAATGTAAATAACACTAAATTTAAAAATCAGAATCAGATATTTGACATGTGCTTGCCAAAACACTCTCTATAAATCAAAGCTATGATTTAAAGGTGCAGTAGGTGATTGTCTTCAGAAACATTTGTTGTTGTGCTGGTTGAAAGTCTCTTCACAGTCTAATAGTAATGATTACAGTAAATGATCTAAATGTGTTTATATGTATTTTTATATTCTGGGTAAAGCATAAAACTAAAAAATGTTCATCCAATTAAATAGAGTCGGACCGACATCTCCCATAATTCCGTTAAGCAGGTCAGACTGTCTGTCAGCAAATGTAGATTCGGACTTCTGCGCATCTGTTCACGCAGATCCGCCATTAGCGCGTGCACGTCTGCATCACAAACGCATGCGCGAGAGCGAGCTGCTCGCCGTTGCCGAGACGGAGCCAGAGGCGCCGAAGGACAGACGAGCTTGGCCCGATTACTGTGAAGCCAGGCGCCAGTATAATTCGCCCTTAAAGCGGCCGCGCGGTCACGAGACGGACCGGGAAAATTCAAATGCTGATTTGAAACTTTTAAAAACCTGAATCAATATTGGAGTTACTTTAGCACGCTGGAGGAAGGACGACACCATGGCTGAAGTATTACTGTTAGACAGATAATGTTCTGTTTTAAAACTTAGTCAAGCTAAGCTTATGTTAGATTGTGTTGTTATGAATGACTTCTATGCACAGACGTGTTGTTCAGCCACTGAAATCTTTCGGTGAAAGATTGATGTGATTATTTTCAGTTTCATAAGGTCCTTTGACAGCATCTATAATGTAGATTTATATTTAGTTTAACAACAAAACCTCAGTAAATAGCGCTATTCCGCCTAACCCGCTTTATGGAGCTAAAGTTGCTTTTATATTCACATTGGGTCATTTTTAAACAATGACAGCCTTCCTATACTGTTTACCATGCTACTCTGAATATTCGCTCTGAAATAGCATGTAAATGTGGCAAAGTAATTAATGTAATTCCTGCACAGCGCTGGCACTAACTAACAGGCGAATGACATGAACTAGTAGGTTGTCTGTCTGCTGTTGTGACGCGGTGCGCGCGCACTCGCGATTTCAGGGGGTGTGACTTTGAATCACAGTCCCTCCCTGCCGTCCAAAGATAATATGCTAAGCCAGGCGTGTCCAAACTACGGCCCGCGGGCCATCTGCGGCCCGCAATCAGTTTTGTGGCGGCCCGCGAGGCTTTTTATAAATATCAATAGAATCTGGCCCGCTATACAAAAATGAACGTAATTCAATTAATAACCACCGGGTGTCGCTATTACATGCATTCAATTAAGCAGGAGTTCTTGTTATGATCTATCTATCTGTCTGTCTGTCTGTCTATCTATATACACACAGTTGATGTCTGAATTATAAGCCCCTCTTTGATTTATTTCTTCTTTTTAAAATATTTCCCAAATGATGTTTAACAGAGCAAGGACATTTTCACAGTATGTCTAATAATATTTTTTCTTCTGGAGAAAGACTTATTTGTTGTATTTCGGCTAGAATAAAAGCGGTTTTAATTTTTTTATGAACCATTTAAGGTCAAAATTATTAGCCCTTTAAGTCTTCAGAACAAACCATTGTAATAAAATAACTTGCCTAATTACCTTAACTTGACTAGTTAACTTGATTAACCTAGTTAAGCCTTTAAATGTCACTTTAAGCTGTATAGAAGTGTCTTAAAAATATCTAGTCAAATATTATTTACTGTCATCAAGGCAAAGATAAAATAAATCAGTTATTAGAAATGAGTTACTAAAACTAATATGTTTAGAAATATGTGGGAAAAAAAATCTTCTCTCCGTTAAACAGAAATTGGGGAAAAAAATAAACGGGGGCTAACAATTTAGGGGGCTAACAATTCTGACTTCAACTGTGTGTGTGTGTGTGTGTGTGTGTGTGTGTGTGTGTGTGTGTGTGTGTGTGTGTGTGTGTGTGTGTGTGTGTGTGTGTGTATATATGTATATGTATATATATATATATATGTATATATATGTATGTATATATATATATATATATATATATATATATATGTATATATATGTATATATATATATATATATATATATATATATATATAT